GGATGGATGGATGAAAAGTTTGGAAATCTGTGAGTAAAAGTGAATTTTAAAAAAACACACACACTAAAATGGTCATGTGATTTGTTGTAATGCTATGATACAAGATGTAACTCTTTCTATATCAAGACATTTTTTGTCGCCACACAGTGTCGAGTCCATGCTTTACTGAACTGAAATGAGTCAGGTGACTGCTGCATCCTGTTTGATTTATTGCTTTTGAAATCTGACACATTTTGGGATAAATACAAAATGAAACGCACTGGAATTGACTGGTGGAAAGTTTTGATTTGACCAGAAGATGGTGCTACAGTGTTTGGAATGAAGACAGGCAGCGATGCAGGCGACAGAGGATGTGCGTGTAACTTTTAGGCCGTGCATGGCTCCATTTAAACAGCAATGTTTAAACCAACCATAATGAATAAATACATTTACATTTAAGAAGTCCTGAAACACTGTGTAGTCTAAACTTCAAGACTGCCGGACAATGAAAAAAGAAGCAAGCCTCGAGGAAAACAGTGTTAAGCGACATCAATTTAATATACAAATTTTGGATTTTATATTTGATTTAATAAGTGTGCTTGGCCGATATATAAAAAAGGTTAATAACAGTGTTTCATGCATTTCATTGATGCATGCACTAAATAATAAATACAGTCACAGCACTGCTGCGTCAGTGTTTTGCTATTGCTTGCTCATCATGTTGGTAAAACAAAATTGGAACAATTTCAAATTCAGTTCTATCCCTACCTGCCGAAACATTCCTGAAAGCCAATTAGAGAGAGCTGGTTCACTCAGTGATTCTTCTCTTGGTTTTTCTATCCCTCTTTCCATCCTCAATTAAGAAGAAGCCCTGTTTTCAGCTCTGAGTTGATGTATTAGGGCAGATGTAGTTGCATTCGGAGGATAGTGGATGTTTGGAAGTACATGGAGTTGAAAAGGAGCACCCACGAGAACAGAAAAGGCATGAAAAAGATGAGATAAAACTATTCTTTTGCTCAGATCTGATCACTTTGCCCCATTGAACCCTTAATAACCTCTTTACCTTTGGCTGTAGATGCTGTAAGTGGGAAGAATGACTATATGAAAAAAAGTCTAAACTTTAAAACTCAGGAAGTTACTAGAAGCAAAGATGGATCAGAGTTAAACCTGGATTGACCCAAGGAGGTCTGGTACTGCTGCTCTTTGTCTACAACTGGATACAACTGGATTTAACTGACTAGATTAAACTGATGACTGAAAAAAATTGCTTTGAACTGATAGCTATGCACACGCTTTATCAGGTCTGTGTCCATGTTTTTTCATTAATGGAAAATAGACTCTTTCTTATTTAGCACTTTATGCAACATGCCTCATGAGAGCAACCTGGAGTTAATATCTTGCCCAAGGGTATTTGGCATGCAGTCTGGAGCAGCCAGGAATTGAACCACCAGCCTTCAATTTGGTGTGAGCAGTGATCACCTGCTCTACCTCTACTTGAGCTACATAAAAGATGAAAAAAATATCTGAGAAGAAAGATGACTATGATCAGTTACAGTGGGGGATGCACAGCATACATCATTAAGAATGATTTTTTTCACATGTAAACTAAATGAAGTGTTTTCTTGTGTTTTACCTTTACGGTAATGTAAAAGTAAAATATAAACTTGAAGTAGAAAAAAATGATATAAGGCAATAATACACAATTGCTCCTCTTGCTATTGTGTATTGAGGTAAAGCGAAAGACCTGTAACAGTTATATAAGAACTACAGTTGAAAAAGAGATAAACATGATTCACACAATGCAGCTGCTTAAGGTCTATTGCAGAAAAAAATGTGATGATTAGAAGGTTGAGTGATGAGCTGTGACACTTTGATGTGCATGTACATTATTTGCTAGTGTTGACACATAACACCGTTACTGGATTCACTCAGGGGCGTTTGTGCAAACCAGAATGCAGAGGAACCTGTCCCTCACACCCATTATTTTGAGGAAAACTCTAACACACTTTTTTTTGTTTCAAGCTCCAATTAATTCCAATGTTGTTGCAAGTTCTAGCAAACGTGGCTTGTTGCTTTTCTGGACAGTACACACTCTACTAACAGAAAGCATTTTCACTCCAACCATCAGCTCGTAATGTTACTCACTAACTTAAATAAGTTATTTACATAAATATATAGACTGTTCGCTGTGGCCATTAAAAAAGTGGTCATACGGATCCTGTTTGGTTAACGATCCTTAAAATATTTCTTACTGGCTGTCAGATGCCTTTTATTCAAGACTGGTGTTGCTCTTACAGATGATTAATTGATGGAGTGCTGATGAGATGGCCATGCATCTCGTCTTTGTAGAGGACTTCTGGAGCTCTGCTAGAGAGAGCTTTGTGTTCCTGGTCACCCCAGTGGCAAAGGCTTCTCTCAACCACTAATTCCTTTTGAACAGCAAACTACAGTGCTGTGCAAAACTCTTGATTTTTCAATCATTTTCAGTCCAATACTTGTACCTGAGCATTTTCACACCATTGTTTCCTGTTTGTATGTTTGTTAAGTCCCTTAACATTGACCGTTGAATCATTCAAGCATAAAAAAAACTAACCAGTGTTGTGTCTACACATAACAGAACACAAGAACAAAATCTAAATTATTGGAATCAAGGACAAAAGAAGACATAACAGGCATAAAAAAAAAGAGTCCCTGAATGTATGAG